AATATATTTTTCGGGTTTATATGTTATTTCCTTGGACTGAAGGAGTGAATCGAAACTGAAAGTAACAAGCCTTCGCTCGCCACAGCTTGTATATGTCTCATCAAAGCGAGATTCCTATATTCGAAGTTCTCGAATTATTACCAAGCTACTGAAGAAAGCGAAAGAGGTTCATATGAATTACGAGGGCAACGCAACGACGATTGGGAACGCGAATATTCTGGCGAGAAATTAGCATGCATTGTGCTCGTTTTGTTTATCTATAGTCTGGCTTCATTTATGCCCTCTACTAGAAGGCCTGCTAAACAAAGGAAACAAATAATTATTTATTAAGCGACTAGAGTTGAATCTCAGCGGAAAAATAAAGTTGTTTTGCGTTAGCTTCAGACAAAGAACGTTTCTCAGTTACGGCTTTCGCTCAGAGTTGCGAGAAATGTTTTCGAATCGTGAACGGTTCTCAGAGTGCTTTCGGCGAAAGTGACACGGTTGGTCACCTGGCGTGACACATGTTAAAACATCCTATTTTTCCGAGAAAGACTAGAATTGGAAGCTATAAGCATCACCTAAGGCGAAAATGAATAATGTTGTTGACGGGTCCCTTTGTACGATGTCAGTATTGGCTAATTTCCAGCATTCAGTAATAAAAAGGCTCACTGGCTGGCCGGAAATTCAGGAATCCTGGAATATGGAATCGCGGAAAAAGAACGGGAGAAACAGGCCCCTGAAGTTTTTATCTCAGATTAGCAATTTTGACATGTATTCCCTATTCTATCGCGTTTTAAACAGTTGATCACGCCCTTAAAGCACAGCTTACATTGTGGCACATTCTTTGTTAACTAATCGTTCAATATTTGTCAGTATCTTGCCAGCAAAGAAGTCCGAGATTGGTATCCCGCCCAAGCAATCCCTTGATTGGCAAAAGCCATGGTAATGCTTCGTTTCCCTGGGTGTTTGAGCTTCTGCCCACAGAGACATGGAACGAGAGCATATACGAACTGAGCTTCGGGCTCTGGAGCTCTCCAGGATACCTGAAGAAAAAACTCATGGCTATCGACAGACGAGGCCAAGTGCTGGTGCGACCGAACTATGAAAACAAAATCAGCTGCCACTTTAACATGTCTCGTCTGCAAGTGGAATTCACACTTCGCAGCTTAAGCAGAGAGGACGCTAAACATTACGGGCTTCATGTTGAGTTTGAGTTAGCTCGGGCTCCCTTGACGGACACTGTTATTCTTCGTATAGAGGGTAAATACTCAGTTGAAATCACTGATAAACTTAC